CGTGCAAAAAATAAAATGCACATGTGATTAAATACCACTAAAAAATGACATTTCATTTGGGTGCAGCATTGCATGAACGCGCAATTGTCAGTCAAAGTAACGCAGCGCTGTAGCTCAAAAAATGGGCTGGGGGGGCAAGTGGTTTTGTTTTATGTTGTTTTTTGTTTTTTTTAATCTACTGGGGCAGGGGCTTACCTGCATAGGCAATTTTCTGGTAAGGGTAAGGGTGAAGCACCCCTTTAAGCGCACCTGACCGCGTCTATGTTTTTCATACAATATGACCGACTTCATCCATTCATTTGTATCTGTGCCGGGCTGCCGTAATCTGCTTCACAAAGAAGAGGAATAAAAGCAGAGAAGCCGACATTGTTATTTTGGTGACATCGCCGGTTTGTGGGCGTGTGCGCGTCGTGGGCTGCGGGAAGTACTCACACTGCCTACTGATTACGCCTTGAGTGCGTGGGCCGCTCTCGGGAACACTGAGGGGGGATCTTCTTCATCCAGATGCCGGCGTGCACCACAAATAGATGTATTATGGCGGTGACCAGGCCGAGGTGTCATGGATTCGTGCCGCGGCGAGGCAACACGCAGAGGATCGTACATGAATTTTAAAAAAATAATCAATGGCCGGCCTAATTTAAAATACGAGGAGACGAGAAATCGGCCATCCTTGGGAAAAGAAAGGACTGAAATATGGTCCCAGGCTTTTCCATAAACACTTGAGATTTCCCTCCCCCCCGTCTAACCTGCTGTTTGTCTTTTGAATTCCTGCGCTTGGCTTTGTGCGGCATCGGAGAACCGGGCCCTCAGGAAACCGTCTCCATGGTTACGTTTAATGTATACCTGGCATCTGTGAAGGTGCTGCGCGTACAATTGGTGAGCTTGTGGATGGCCTGTGCTAACTGGGGGGGGGGGGGCACAAACATGAGAGGAGATGGGGAGGCAAGCTTGTGGATGGCCTGTGCTAATGGGGGGGGGCCACAAACATGAGAGGAGTTGGGGAGGCAATGGTGTTTATTCCAATTGGCGAGCTTGTGAATGGCCTGTGCTAACTGGGGGAGGGGGGGCACGAACATGAGAGGAGATAGGGGGGCGATACTGTTTATTCCAATTGGCGAGCTTGTGGCCTGTGCTAACCGGGGGGGGGGCCACGAACATGAGAGGAGATGGGGGGCAATGGTGTTTATTCCAAATGGCAAACTTGTGGATGACCTGTGCTAACCGTGGGGGGCACGAACATGAGAGGAGATGGGGGGGCAATGGTGTTTATTCCAATTGGCGAGCTTGTGGATGGCCTGTGCTAATCGGGGGGGGGGGGTCACGAACATGAGAGGAGATGGGGGGGCAATGGTGTTTATTCCAATTGGTGAGCTTGTGGATGGCCTGTGCTAACTGGGGGGGGGCACGAACATGAGAGGTGATGGGTAGGCAATGGTGTTTATTCCAATTGGTGAGCTTGTGGATGGCCTGTGCTAACTGGGGGGGGGGGGGGGTTACGAACATGGGAGGAGATGGGGGGGCAATGGTGTTTATTCCAAATGGCAAACTTGTGGATGGCCTGTGCTAACCTGGGGGGGGGGGGGGGTGAACATGAGACAAGACAGAAACAATACAATACACGAGGGGTTCGAGGGCCCTGCTCTTTCGAGCTCACAATCTAGGAGGGAGGGGAAGGTGGTACAGGAGGAAATGGCTGTGGGGGATGGAGTGGTGGGAGGAGTGGAGGAGGTTAGTTGTTAGATGGGGTCAGGTGTTAGGTGAGGTTGGGGTAGGCTTCCCTGAAGAGGAGGGTTTTCAGGGTGCGCCTAAAGGTGAGGAGGGTAGGGAGTTCCAGAGGATGGGGGAAGTCCTAGAGAAGTCCTGCAATCGGGCGTGGGAGGAGGAGACCAGGGAGCTTGAGAGTAGGAGGTCCTGTGAGGAGCGGAGGGCACGGGTAGGGTAGTATCTGGGTATCAGGTCAGTTATGTAGTTTGGGGCGGCGTTGTGAATGGCTTTGTAGGTCAGAGTTAGCAGTTTGAATTTGATGCGTTGGGCAATCGGGAGCCAATGAAGGGATTGGCAGAGGGGGGAGGCAGATGTGGAGCGCTTGGTGAGGTGGATAAGTCTAGCCGCTGAGTTCAGGATAGACTGGAGTGGGGATAGCGCTCGTTTGGGTAGGCCAGTGAGAAGGGAATTGCAATAGTCCAGGCGTGAGATGATGAGGGAGTGTACGAGTTGTTTGGTGGTGTCTGTGCTGAGGAATGTGCGTATCTTGGAGATGTTGCGGAGGTGGAGCCTGCATGATCTAGATAGCAGTTGGCTGTGGGGTAGGAAGGAGAGGTGGGAGTCCAGGGTGACACCCAGGACTTTGGCATGAGGGGTGGGCGAGATGGTTCCATTCCCAGCATGCCAGGAATGCTGTCCTTTTTGCTTGTGCTGTCAACCAACCTGTCAAGCCATCAAATGGCTGGTGTCACAACTGATCACATGTGCCGCACCATGACAGTTGAAGATCAAACTGAGGCCAAGATGGCGGCTTTCTTGGCTGAAATGGAGAGGAAGGTTTAGTTCCGCTTTAAGTATACAACCGTGTGAAGGGCAATGTTTACTTGCACCAGATGCTCCGGTGTTCCATGCAACCCTATGCAGGCATTCCCATTATTGTGAGTTTGTACACAGCCCCCGCTCCCAATTTGACATCCGTGCGCATGCATGTCCCCGAACGCAGAGCTGCATCATCACGCTTCAGCCAATCAACATGCCTGAAGACAGGCACTCAGAAGAAGCCAGGTAGAAGGTGCTGGCAAGGGACCATATGGGTGTCCACCATTGGAGCCAAGGAAAGTCTTGTGGACTTAGTTGTGCTTTAAGCTGACAGCGAATGTGGATGTACACATGCTGTGGCTGCGAAGTTTTGCAGTGCAACTAAAGCGATCCCCTGTCGCTTGTTTTTTCGGTTAGCGATTATCCAACGTAAAAAAAGCAGAGGTAGGTTTGCATGTTACTGAAGTGGAAGCCTGATCTTTGAAGTCTCCAAAGGAGGAAGATCTGTCTCTGACTGTCTTGCCCCAAAGCAAGCAATTCTTTGCGGTACAGAAGGATGCTATGGGCCACAAACTGTCAGGCGGTTCTTAGACATTTTGATAAACGAGGCCAGTACTGTATAATGATAAATGAAGACAACCTCCTAGGGTGATTCAGTATTTCTGTGCTTCTTTCATACGAGTTGTGTAAACCATGTAGAATCTTGAGGGTTGGATACGACAATGGGGGTACAGGGGTAAGGATCGATAACTGCCCTCCCCTAGCTCCAGCAGGCTCCCTCCATCCATGCTATCGCTTCCATGAAGCCTTCTTTCTAAGGCATTCTGGGTCACAGTCGCACTCCTGCCTACTCCACGCACACTCAAGGGTTAATAGCCTTGCATTGTACATCAGAAAACAAAGGAACTGCCCATGGAGTGGAGAAGAGGGCAGCACTGGAGCTTGCCAGAACGGTGTGGAGGACTAGTAATAATAGAGCTTCCTCCGTTCCCCCTATACCCAACGAGCATTTAGTCCTTGCAGTGCCAGGGGAACTCTGCTGCAAGGAGGTTTTATTTCCTCCATCCCGGAGTTGGGGACATCAGAAAACAAAGGGGACTCCCCACCCCCTGGAGTGGAGAAGAGAAGACTGCACCAGAGCCTGCCAGTACAGGGTGTAGGACAAGTAATGCAGCCTCTTCCACTCCCCCTAGACCTTAGTGCTTGTAGTTCGAGGGGAACTCCGCTGCAAGGGGTTTTTTTTTTTCCTCCATCCCAAAGTTGGAGACCTCAGAAAACAAAGGGACTGCTTTCCCCCTGGAGAGAAGATAGCACCTGAGCCTGCCAGTACAGGGTGTAGGACAAGTGAAACGGCCTCCTCCGCTCCCCCTAGACCTAAGGAGCATTTAGACCTTGCAGTGCCAGGGGAACTCTGCTACAAGGGTTTTTTTTTTTTTTTTTTTTCTCCATCCCAAAGTTGGAAACATCAAAGTTGGAGACTGCTCTCCCCCTGGAGTGAAGGAGAGAAGACCACTCCAGAGCCTGCCAATACGGGGTGTAGAACAAGTAATGGGGCCTCCTCCACTCCCCCTAGACCAGTGGTTCTCAACCTTTCTAACGCCGCGACCCCTTAATACAGTTCCTCATGTTGTGGTGACCCCCAACCATAAAATTATTTTCGTTGCTACTTCATAACTGTAATTTTGCAGTAGGAGGAATAGTGCCACGTCATTGGTGTCAGTGGGAGGAATAGTGCCCCATCATTGGTATCAGTGGGAGGAATAGTGTCCCATCATCGGTGTCAGTGGGAGGAATAGTGCCCCATCATCGGTGTCAGTGGGAGGAATAGTGTCCCATCATTGGTGTCAGTGGGAGGAATAGTGCCCCATCATTGGTGTCAGTGGGAGGAATAGTGTCCCATCATCGGTGTCAGTGGGAGGAATAGTGCCCCATCATTGGTGTCAGTGGGAGGAATAGTGTCCCATCATTGGTGTCAGTGGGAGGAATAGTGCTCCATCATTGGTGTCAGTGGGAGGAATAGTGCCCCATCATTGGTGTCAGTGGGAGGAATAGTGCCCCATCATTGGTGTCAGTGGGAGGAATAGTGCCCCATCATTGGTATCAGTGGGAGGAATAGTGTCCCATCATTGGTATCAGTGGGAGGAATAGTGCCCCATCATTGGTATCAGTGGGAGGAAAAGTGCCTCATCATTGGTGTCAGTAGGAGGAATAGTGCCTCATCATTGGTGTCAGTGGAAGGAATAGTGCTCCATCATTGGTATCAGTGGGAGGAATAGTGCCCCATCATTGGTGTCGGTGGGAGGAATAGTGCCCCATCATAGGTGTCAGTGGGAGGAGGAATAGTGTCCCATCATCGGTATCAGTGGGAGGAATAGTGCCCCATCATTGGTATCAGTGGGAGGAATAGTGCCCCATCATAGGTGTCAGTGGGAGGAGGAATAGTGCCCCATCGTTGGTGTCAGTGGGGGGAGGAATAGTGCCCCATCATAGGTGTCAGTGGTGGGAGGAATAGTGCCCCATCATTGGTATCAGTGGGTGGAGGAATAGTGCCCCATCATAGGTGTCAGTGGGGGGAGGAATACTGCCCCATCCTTGGTGTCAGTGGGGGGAGGAACACTGCCCCATCCTTGGTGTCAGTGGGGGGAGGAATTGTGCCCCATCCTTGGTGTCAGTGGGGGGGAGGAATCGTGCCCCATCCTTGGTGTCAGTGGGGGAGGAATAGTGCCCCATCCTTGGTGTCATTTGGGGGAGGAATAGTGCCCCATCGTTGGTGTCAGTGGGAGGGAATAGTGCCCCATCGTTGGTGTCAGTGGGAGGAATAGTGCCCCATTATTGGTATTAGTGACACCAATGATGGGGCACTATTCCCACTGACACCAATGATACTTACCTTGCAGACCCCTGCTCCAGCCTGGGCTCGCTCGCTCCCCCTCTCCCATGGTACCGACACTTACCTGTCAGCTGTCTTCCTTCTCCGGCTGCTCTCCTCCTCTTCACTCGCTCGATCTTCGCGGTGCCCGCTCGGCTCCTCCTCTCCAAGCTCCACCTCCTTGCCAGTGATTGGCCGCCTGTGTGCCTCTCCTGAGCTACAGTGCCGGCGGCCAATCACAGGCGAGGATTGATCTCGAGGTGTGTCCAGATGACAGGGGCGGCATGTCATCCCGCCCACACCTGGAGACGGCGGTGGCGGCGCGGCGAGGAGTGGTGTCTCGGTTCCTAAGACCATCGGAAATATGTGTTTTCCGATGGTCTTAGGCGACCCCTGTGGAAGCGTCGTTCGACCCCCAAAGGGGTCGCGACCCCCAGGTTGAGAACCGCTGCCCTAGACCTAACGAACAATTTAGTCCTTGGGGTGCAAGGGAAGCTCTGCTGCAAGTGTTTTTTTTTTTTTTTTTTTTTTTCCATCCCGGAGTTGGGGACATCAAAAAACAAAGGTACTGCCCCCGCCCTGGAGTGGAGGAGAGAAAGCCAGCGCTGGAGCCTGGAAGCGTGGGGTGTAGGACAAGTAATACAGCCTCCTCTGCTTCCCCTAGGCCAGGGGTAGGCAACCTGAGAGCCACAGGACTACAAGTTCCATCATTCCTCTGCAAGTCATAGCTGTAACTGTCAGTTTTGTAATCTTTGCAATGCCTCATGGGAAATGTAGTTCCACAACAGCTAGAGAGCCACAGGTTGCCTACCCCTCGTCTACACCTAACAAGTATTGAGCACTGCTGCAAGGGTTTATCTCCATCCCAGAGTTAGGCTTTAAAGTGATTTTAAATCCAAGTCTTTTTTTTTCCTTTCCTTTAATGTATTCCCTGCATTAAGGTAAAAAAAATCCCAGTAGCAGTATCATCCCCTTACCCCCTACATACTTACCTGGGTCCTCAATTGATGCAGCGCTGTTCCTGTCTGTAGCGGCTCTTTCCCTGCATTTACAGGACACAGAGGCAGCAGCAGGAACCATTGGCTCCTGCTGCTGTCGAGTCAAATCCTGTGAGCAGAGGGTGGGGCTGAGATGCGCTGTGTGTGAATGCAGACAGCCCGGTTCGCAGTGCAAGCCTGCACATTTGTCCCCATAGCAAGCAGCTATGGGGCGCATTGGGAAGAGGAGCCAAGAATGCCACCGGAGAACTCTGGAAGAAGAGGGTCAGGGCTGCTCTGTGCAATTCAGTTGCAGAGAACGTTGGTAGAACATTCTTGCCTAAAATACACACCATACCAGCCTCAGCCTGGGTGCACATATATGCGGTGCGGTATATCGCATGAGATGTAACCGGACCGCATTCCTGTGCAAATCACATGCGATTTGTGTGCAGTGCGATTGGAGCCGTACATTTTGTATGGCTCTAATCGCACCCACACCAAAAAATGTGCAGGACCCTTTTTTGGGTCAGCACTAGAATCGGATCACATGGGTAATTCACACCTATGCGATCCGATTCTGCACATCGCACCACGTTTTGCTTTAGGGTGTTGTTAACATATGCACCCGCAGCGGTTCGCATGAACGGGGTGCAATTCTGATGCGTTGCAAAATTAGCACTGAAAACGCTGCGAGTTCCACCCCGCATCAGTGTGAACCCGGGGGGGCTCAAGTAGCTATATCTGACTTAATGATTTTATCCTAGATCAAGATCAAGTTAATTTAAAAACAAAACAACAACAAAAAAAAGACAATACAAAGTATGCAGGCTATAAATCAGCCTGCAGTGAAGCCCAGGACCTGGCTGTGCTTTCTAGCAGGATGTACCTGGATCAGACAATAGCATTGGAAACCCATTGTAAAGTAAACCCATGTATGTATTCCAAGTATGTATTTGGGGGTTTGCATAGAGTTCAGCAAAGTTAAATGTCAGCATAGTAAACCTAGGCAAATGCGTTTGAAAACACGACTGTCCTGAACTGCCCTCATTAAAGTCGGTTCAGCCCTGCGTGGTGCAGAACATGATCCTCGCTGGGTGGGGTGTGTGTGTGTCCACGCCGCTCGCTGTCTGCTTCTTTACTACCATTGTATAGTAGTACAGTGTACATGAATGGCGCTGTGCAAATAGTCTTCCATACATATACAATTACAAAAACAAATATTAGGATGGTAGTCTCTGCCAGCTGAAATTCCATTCTAGTGTATTTATAAAACCCGGCAGCTTAATGCAGAAGGTCCGCTGAGTATTTTTTTTTTTTTTTTGCATGTGTGTCTGCAAAATATTAAAGGAGAAATACCCGAATGTTGTATGTTGTTTTTTTTTTTTTTTTTTTTTTTTAATACTTTTATGGTCATTGTATACATGCAGTGACATTTATCAAGGTACTTTTTACAACAATTTAAAGAACATGTCTTAACACAACCACCCATGCATACTCCGAGCATGCGCACACACACATCTGTTGTTAAATATAACCTTTAAAAAAAAAAAAAAAAAAAAAAAGTACAGTGAAATTTCACATAGCTTCTACTCAACCGATCCTTCGATCCCCCGGAAAACTGTGCTCCCCCCACAGTCAAGCAGTGGACTGTTCGGTTCTACGGAGCATGCTCTGGGCAGAATAGCACCAGGAACAGTCCACTATTCAAGACCGCTGGAGCGTGGGGGTGCCAGACCAGTCTTGTGCTGGAAGAATAGGAGGATCAAGTAAGTAAATCTCCTCCGTCCCAAAAATAAGTTAACCTAATGCATGGGGAAAAAATTGTCTGCGCTCGGAGTTGGGCATTAACAACCAAGTCAGTCTTTCTGGCCATGATTACCTGTGTACCCTCCGTGTAACAAAGATGTGCTGCAGCAAATGGTGGACTTTGACACCCACATGCCGCAAGTACGCGGCACCAGGCAGCCAGTGTTGTTGCTGAGTGCGCACTCCCAACACAAAGACTGATGTGTCATAGACAGCTCTCAGTCCTCATTTAACTGTGAATAGATGATGGAACCAGCTTCCAATCATGTAACTACTGTGGCATACAACCAACCACAGTAGTTACATAACTGCTGATCTTTTCCATCCCCCCCCCCCCCCCCCCCCCAGGCATGCAGAACTAGGGACAGTGGGTCGGGCGGGAAGGTTTTTTTTTACATGAAACATCGTCAGAGTCCACAGAGCCCCCCACCCTCAAACTAGAACACACTTCAGGGTTCTTCTCCCTGCATATTTCAATTTGTGAATGGGGTGTGGCTGTATGTGGCTTCACCAGAGATCTGTGAATGAAGACAACTACAAGTCCCATCTGTTACTACAACAGAGGGACTGTAGTTCCTGGTGGAGCACAAGTGCGGTGACATCACTACCCTTGCCCATTGTTACTTCAAGGTCCATGGTCACTGAAGGTCCATATTTTGGTATGAACCTTTGATACTACTTCCAGGTCCATGGTCCACTCTGTTCACTGAAGGTCCATACTTCATTACGGACCTGTGATACTTACTTCTTCCAGGTCCATGATCACTGCAGGTCCATACTTCGATATGGACCTTCGATATGTCATCTAGGTCCATGGTCACTGAAGGTCCATACTTTGATACGGATCTTTGATACTACTTCTAGGTCCATTTTCCACTCCATGGTCACTCAAGGGCCATACTTTGGTACGGATCTTTGATACTACTTCTAGGTCCATTTCCACTCCATGGTCACACTGAAGGTCCATTCTTTGGTACGGATCTTTGATACTACTTCTAGGTCCATTTCCACTCCATGGTCACTGAAGGTCCATTCTTTGGTACGGATCTTTGATACTACTTCTAGGTCCATTTTCCACTCCATGGACACTGAAGGTCCATACTTTGATACAGATCTTTGATACTACTTCTAGGTCCATTTTCCACTCCATGGACACTGAAGGTCCATACATTGGTACAGACATGGAGAGGAAAAGTCTGCAGGAGCTGGAAAATTGCAGTTGCAATGCTTGGTAGGCTTCCGTGCAAATTGTTTCTTTTTTGCATTTATTTTTATTGCTAAAGGTTGACTCCTTAAGAAAAAACAAAAATCCATGATTTTTTTAAAAATCGCCTTAAATTATGAAATAATATGTTTCCAACAATGAACCTCCTGAGCAGTCATGTGAATGGGGATGATCAGTAACCTATGAATGTATCATTTCTTTGTTCATTCTTAGCAGGGAATGGCCCTAAAGCAAAATTTGAAGATCTAAAAAAATTACTATTAGGATTTTTTTTTTATTTTTAATTTTTAATTTTCATCCTGTTGATTAGATTGTAAACGGGAGGACGGGATTAGCTTTTGTGGTTGCACATTCCCAAGCCAAGGTAAGGGTTAAATACATCTGCTCCATAGAGGAGCATGTTTTCCTAGGAGCTCAGGTTAGTTAATTCAGCTGGAGGAGGTGCCAGCCTCCATTGCAGGGAGGGGAGGGGGTGCAGGAAGAATGGCTTTAGTAAATGTACCTTTCTGTCGAAAAAAAAAAAAAAAAAAAAAATCCCACTCTCTCCGTTTCTCCCCACAAAACCCCACTTGTGTTTTACTGCTGAATTTCACTAGCAGCCATTTTATGACTGGGGCACCAATGACAGGAGGGGAGGCTCAGGGGCAGATTTGTATGTGCCTATGTGATGCACAATGGGTGTCAGCTGATGTTGTAGGTTCCACATGCCTGCCCTTACTACAACCTGCTGGGAAATGTCCCCAGATTGTTTTCCATCAGCTTGTTTGTCTTGTGTGTCCTGTTGACCTTCCTTACGGGATTAGTCC